CTGACCCTTAAGAAGGCTGTCAAAACCTTCTTGAACACAGCTGATGATTCCAAAGATGTACCTAAAGTTGAGAAAGGTCAGCCAAAGTATGAAAAGTATAAGCTTTCAGAGGAGGAATGGGGGCTCCTTACTCTCATCCATGAGGTGTTGGTGGTATGTAGTCTATGGCTGATGTCTGTTAGGCACTGAACACATTACAGGAAGCTGTGAAGGTTCAAGAAACATTCTTGGACGAGTATTATCCCACAATCTGGTGGATTCTCCCATTGTATGAAGACCTCCTTGCCAAATGGCATGAGTTGTCAGCTGACCTCAGAATGGTTACTCTATGGCCAGCTATTGAGGCAGGGATCAAGAGCCTCGAAAAATACTATAACAAAACTGATAATTCTCCTGCACACATGGTTTCAATGTGTGAGTAACTAATGCCTTATCATTGAACTATCCTAGTACTGACAATCATGAAGATTTAAACCCTTGCCTCAAGGACAAATTTTTCAAAATTGTGTGGACAGTAGACAGGCAAGAGTGAGCACTCAGTACCATGCAAAGAGTGGTCAGTTTGGTAGCCCTTCCTTCATGCAGATCTTTATTGACTCAACAGGCATTATAGTTTGACAAATACCAAAAGTCCTACTCTGAATCCCCTTCTAATTCAACCTCATTCACACCCACACCCATTTCATGCACATCATCCAACAGTCTGATTGCAAGAGCCACAGAACAACGTCATGCATGAGAGAAACTTGAGGCTGTTCAAGATCAGCATGCTGAGCTCAAAACTTATCTGTCTGAGAACTTACTTTATGTTGATGACAGTTTATCACCTGAGCATCAAGCTGAGCTCATTCTTGCATGGTGGCAGGTACTGGCTGATCTCCTTTAATAATACTATTATGTGCTCACTGTAAATTCCTTAGGTTAATGCTACTCATTATCCTGTGCTAAGTTGCATTGCACTTGACTTTTTGCCTATCCAAGGGTCTTCCATCCCTTGTGAACATGCCTTTTCTGATGCTGGGCTCACAGATATGAAGCAGCATGCTTGCCTTCTCCCAAAGAACTTCAGTGCCATCCAAACTGTCAAAGGCACTTACAAGAAGGAGTGGAGATGCTGAAAAGCAGAGTTGGCTACTCAATGGACTGCACAAAAGAAGCACTTGATGGATGACACAGCATGGGAGGTGCAGAAGGGCAATTCAGAATAGTAACCTTGAAGTTGCAACATAAATTTTATTGTAGCATTTTTTTCGGTTCTGAACCAGTCTGAACCTGAACAGAACTGTGTAGAACTGGTCCATCACTGAACCAATAGTCCAGGTTCGGGTTCAGCAGCAAGTACATACCCTAGCTATGGTTTGAGTTCAGGTTCAGATGAGATGTGTCTGAACTGGACTTGAACTGAACCACAGCAACTTTAGTCATATGCACTGACACAAGATCTCAGTGTCTTTGGTTGTACACCCCAGAGTTCAAGTGTACTATTGACTAGTATGTGCCTTGCTTTGACATCTCCTTCTTTATTTAATGGTGGCATGATTGTTATGGTGTCATAAATGATGATTTATATAGTTTTAATATGTGCTCAAAAAACTGTCCACATGAGTCATGATTTTGTAAGCCTTGTATCTCCACCATATCTCCTCTGATTCTCACGATGTGGTGCTCAATCCAAAGCCCTGAAGCAGCACCACAATATGGTATTAGCATGTTACTGAGGTCTTTATGTATTCTCACACAATATTGTAAATAGTAAAAAATGCAAAAACATGTGGACAGTTTTTTGAGCCACTGTATATTGGGTCAGCCTTTGTCACAGCAAGGATGCTCCCATCAGGCCTAGGCCCCATGATGGTAATAAGGAAAGTGGGTGGATATGACAGGTTTCCCTTATTGCACCATACTCGATCATGTGCTTGCACTAGCCTGATGTGACAAAGAGCCTAATGCTGTACACCCACCAGAAATTAGAAGTGAAAAACAATTCATTTGGACTGAATACCTTTGAAGCAGGTTCTCCAGATGCTCCTTGGTTCAGAGTCAATGGGAATGTCAATCAGTTGTCTTCTGATACATTCACTCAGTTTAAGACTATCAACAATTATATGCAGAGCTCGACTCCTTTCAGATCCTGACAATGTTACAGCTATGGTTACCCCTATCTCTTTTCTCTTCATACTTGTGTATTACATCATGACCGCACCTTGCCGTGCCATCATTAGACTCCGCTTTCTATACTTGTGTATTACATCACGATCACTGCATGCCGTCGCTAGATGACTCATCCCCCTTATCTCTGACTCAGTCGATGACGCAACCCCTTATCTCTGACTCGACCGCTGACGTGTACTTACCTGCCCTAAAGGACCTACGTCTATATAAACCTGGTCATGTATTTAGTTAGACTTCACTTTAATCTACTAGGTTTTACCTGTACTATCCTTCACTTAAGACCTCCAATCTTAAGTCTTCTGATAACCGATATTCAAGCCAGAGACACTCTCTCTGACTTGTCTTAAAAGAACCTTACATTTGTAAGGACACGAACTGGCTTTAGGCGAACTCTTATCGAGTACCTATCGTCGCGCCCATCCTAGTCGACCTACGGTTCGCCGTAACAGACAATATCTCTGACATGGTTGAGAGATCGCTGCCTTGACCATGATTTCTTTCTTGATGATATAGCATCTGCATACATTTGGCAGAAGAGTGACCATGGTGTCTGTTCACAAAATTATAGTCCTAGGCAAGTACAGTACTTATGATGAAGTGGTGATAAAATGAGCGCTAAGACTCAGAGCTGGGTAAGGTGCCTCCAGCAATGTCTTATCTAACCAGCTTTCCTATTTTTCAGGGCACAAAGAGAATGCACTGGTGAAAAAAAACATTTTCAATGTGGCCAGGCATGATGCCCCATGTGGTAATGTCACCTTCAGCCTTCCAAGGGCCAACAGCATGATGGAGGTCTCCAGCCCTAAAAATAAGCACATCACCTGGATGATACCTAGTAACAAGATTAAATGCTTATGAAGTGTCAGTGTTAAGAACCATGTTGCTCAAGGGGGAGAGAGACTGACTCAGAGGGGCTTGGCCTCAGCTCGTATGCTGTGCCCCTTACCTGAGTATGTGCCCTTCATTTCATATGAGGTCCAATGATGGTCCGACAAAGTCCGGAGGCTGGCTACTCTGCTGGAGAGTGCTAGAGGACTTCCAGAGGAGCGTGGGAAACGTCCGGAGGAGCGCAGGAGAGTTCTGGAGGAACACAGGAAGTGCTCAGGAGAGTTGCCACTGCAAGGTAATACTTCTACAGGAAACAGGATGGAAGGATAGGAGGTCCGAAGGCCCAGAGGACAGGAGGACAGGAGGACAGGAGGACAGGAGGACAGGAGGACAGGAGGACAGGAGGACAGGAGGACAGGAGGACAGGAGGACAGGAGGACAGGAGGACAGGAGGACAGGAGGACAGGAGGACAGGAGGACAGGAGGACAGGAGGACAGGAGGGCAGGATGATGGAGGACAGAAGGACAGGATGTCTGAAGGTACAGAGGGCAGGATGTCCAAAGGACAGGAGGATAGGATGTCTGAGGGTTAGGAGGACAGAATGTCTGAAGGACAGGATGCCTGGAGGTACGAGGGACAGGAGGTCCAGAGGTCTGGAAGGAATAGGGGCTACATTGGACAAAGTCTGATGTAGAAACAAACAGAGGTAGACTACCCTAAGGTAGAGTTGGAGAGACAGGGATTGGACCTAAGTCCAGAAAGAGGGTAAGTGCCAGAAAGGTGGAGCTCCAGCCTAGGGAGTCAATCCCTAGGCCTGATGGGTAGGACAGACTTAGGAGGACCAAAGTCCAAGAGAGGATTGGGCAAGTCTAAGTTGATATTCAAACTGAGGAACTACAGGAGTATCTACAGGGGTTATATACTGGACAATATCTGAGGGGATCAGTAAGCAAAGGAGCAAGGCTATGTATGAGCATGTGGAAACACATTAGTAAGTCGGAACATAAGTAAATGAACTTGGAGATGAGGACTCATACAAGGATCAATAAGCAAGACAGAAGAAGAGGTAACCGAAAGCCAGAAAGGTAGAGATGCCTAAATGGGGATAGGTGCAGGATCTCAGACAGAGGGTGGGAATAGGTCCAGAGTTAATATCTGGAGGTCCAGAGATCTGGGGATCCAGAAGACAAGGTGGATACAGGACTGGAATATGAGAAGGTGGATATAGTCTGGAATCTGAGACGAGGTGAAGTCTGGATGTCTTGCTGGATGGAGTGTGCATAGGGTGGATGGGACAGGGGGTATGGATCAGACTAGCAGTGGAGATCCGATGGTCTGGAGCTCAGGGGTAAATCCGGAGTGGAGTTGATCCTGCTGAGGTGTGGAGCACAGCGGAAGGGGATCTGGGAATGAGCTGGATATGAAGTGGGGTCTGGATGTAGGCTCAGAAGGTGTGGGAGTATGATGGAACATGGGTCCGCATTGTGGGATATGACAGTCAGCTAAATCCCAAACATACTGAAGTTTGAGCTTGAGATCCATTAAGTAGGCCTCACCCTCTGAAAAGTAGCCCAAGCAAAATATTGCCATTGGGTTACCATTAAGCCCATGATGGTGAGGTAAGAGATTTAGCTTCCAGGCAATTGCATGCCCCAGCCAGGGGCCTGGGTCTGCCACCTCCCAGATGCCCACCTCAAAGGCCTTTTGATAGATCTAAAAATCATCTGGGTGGGTCACTTTGAACATCTCTCTGAGCATTATGGCCAACTTGGATGTCCACTTCATATATCACTGTACAGCAAGTGCAACTTGTGCATTGCAGAACATGTTGGCTGAAGGTTTTAATGGACTCTCATTGAACTTGGTGGGCAATCAGTTTTGCATACTGCATGGGCTACCAAAACTCACCTCCTTTCCTTGATAACATTGCATCTGCCAAGAATGGACAAGGTGGGAGATGCTAGTGCATTCCAAATTTTCATACTCATTTACAAATGACATGCTCCCAGTCCTCACCCTCACCCTCATCCTCATCCTCACCCTCACCCTCATAGTCCTCACCCCCATCCTCATAGGCCTTGTCCTCATTCTCCTGGTCCTCATTCTCATCCACTTTTACTCCTCCTCAGTGCTTGTACCACATAAGGAAGTCTGCAAAATCATGTCTCCCATCTCTTTTGCTTTTATGTGGGCAGAGGAAGTGGTGCAGGACTTGGGAGGCATACAGAGCATCCTCCACAATATCAGTCCATGTATTTCATAAGTATGCACTCCAATACCATAAGGAACACTCACTGGAATGTCATCAAATACTAATCTAACAGTGCAGTCTTCTTGTGCTCTCTTCAGATCACATAGGGAATGGTGAAGTTGTAATGGAGTCTGTGGACTGCCAATATATGTTGGAGGATTCTGTTCCCCTGGAGGATTATTTGTAATGATTCAATTGGAGAAGTATGCTGCTAGCAAATGGCCATCTGCATCAGTGAATTTGGCAGAGAAGACATCAGACTCCTAATTTTTCATTTTGTGCATGACCTCTGTGGCATGCACTTTGTCTGCTTTGCTAGGCTTTGACTGTTTTGCAAGTTGCACTAGCTTGACTCCTGGAATGCAAAAGGTGGGAGCAGTTTTCAACTAGTATTTGCAGATATGTGCAGCAGTCTTCTCTGACATGGATTGTGTACACTGTTTTGCAGGGCCATAGCACCTTTTAGGAAGGGGTACTGATGTCACAGAAAGAAGTTGCATCTTGGCTGGGCCCATCAACATCAAAGCATGTTTAGCCACTTCATTTGCCTCTGTTATTGCACTCCTCTAAAAATATTTGAGCAAAAAAAACATGCAAAGGCATTGCCTACTCACTCTTTTCCTTGAAATAGCACAAGGGCTGACTTGGATTTGCCTTTTACTACTAGCCATGAAAGTTGAGATGCAAACACCAGTCAGGGTCTGTAGCTCATTTGCACTTATATGATAAAGTGCAAATTTTTAACTTCACCCCATCAATGTTGATATTCCCCAATCATAGCTAGAGGATGATGAAGGGCAATTTGGTGATTGGTTGAGACCACTGTTTGAGTAAGCAGTTCCCTGTTACTGGTCCAAAAATTCTTGGTTCCTAGAAGTTAAATGATGGCCATACCTTGAATTCATGCAATTTATATGGTCTTTCAGAAATAGGTTTCAAACTTGTGCAAAAACTTCTTTTCATGGACTGGTACATATCATGGAGGACGCATCCAGAAATGATATGAGCTAAGAATTAAAGAAATTGGCAGTTGGGTTGTGAAGATATGGTCAAAATACTAAACTTTTGGCCCCACCAACACATATCACCATTATTGACCTCCAGATGGTCTGGGACCATCACCAATCAATTCCTACACTTGAGAAACCCCAAAATAGTCCTTTATGGTATTGACTTTAAGTTAAAATCATGTACAGCACAATATAGAAGGTAGGAGGGGGGAGGAGGACCTTGCATATCTCAAGAACACAATTTTTTCTTGGAATTCTAGCTTGACTATCATGTTCAGAGGGCTCATAAACCCCCAGGAATACTCCTGGGGCACTGGCAAGTCATGGGAAGTCTGTAAAAATTGATCTTTGTGGGGGTATGAGGCAAACTGACACATCACAATTTACATGGGCCCAAATGATCCTAAGACCATCTCCAATCAATCAATATGATCACAAAACACTAGGAACATCAGTATTAACATGGAATCATGCCTCTGGGCCCAGTAGGTAGGGGGAGAGCAGCATCACTCTGGAATATGTGAATACTTCTAAGTGATAGGCTGCATTTAGAAATGGTTATATAAGCAAAAATGCAGTCAACTTGAACCAAAAAATTTCTCTTTCTTTCTTCTTTGCTGGTTGTCACTCCTCTATGGGAGTCTACTATTGATAATAGTGCCAGTTTTTTGCCTTTTTTACTTTGCTTTTGCTGGTTGTCACTCCTCAATGGGAGTCCACTGTTGATAGTAGTGCCAGCTATTTTCACTTCATGAAACTTTTTGAGAACAACTATTTTTGCTTTTGATGGCTGTTTAGATAGCTTTTACCCTTCTATTAGAGTCCTGTTGATTGTGTCTAATGTAACTGATGTAGTTACAGCTGATTCCAAAACTATGCAGAATCACAAAATCAAAACTTGTGTGTTGGAAATGCCCAGACAAGGACCCTGTAGGCACCTGAGTGAACATTTGTAGTATGCTGCACTAGTGTACATCTGTGATTCACCAAAAGACAATGTCATTGTTATCAGATCCTTCCATACCTGAATTCAAGGCTACATTCATTATTTACCTTGATACATACACCAAGATTGCTACTGAAAGCAATAGCAAAGCCAAAACCAAGAAAGTGAAATCTATGAAAGTCAAGGAACTCATCTTTCAAATCTCTGAGCCCAACTACATTGAATTTTTGACTACAATCCTTGTGAAGCATGACAAGTCGCACTATAGGGTTACCAAGAGGAAGAAATATAGTTTCAAGTACCTCCTTGGTAATTCTTGTGGGCAAGTGATCTTTGTGTTATTCATAGGAATTGAACTTATCTCACAGTGGTTGTTTATAGCCATGCCAAGGTGATGGATGTTGACAACCAAGCAAATTATGCAGAAGTGGCCAAGAAGCTCATCTCTGAAGAGCCTCAAAAGGTGAAAGTATTTATCAACATGAAAAATGTGGAGAAACTTCCAGTTTCTACTACTCAAAATGAGGTATGTTGCAGTGAGAATTGGTTGCATGATTGTTGTGGCTGATGAGGACAGATTGTGGGTGATACTGCAAGCCAAGACAGTGAAGCATCAGATGATGATGAGACCGCAGTTGTGGATGGTGCTACAGAGCTCAATCATGAAATTGCTTGTTTTCACAGGCTTATCATCAAGAAATGGGGTAATGAGTATGACAATTCTGTCACATACATGTACCAAAGTGGCATGGAGATCCCATGCACACCAGCAATGATCAAGAACTGGGCTCGTGCAATGGTATGTTTCTGATTGACTTTTTGTGATGGCTAGTACTTAATATGAAATACAAACTATCAAGTATGAGGGAGAGGCTACCACCATGGTACCACCCAATATCCCATCTTTTGACCCTGCAAAGCATGAGCCTACCTTGCATCCAATGTGTTATTCCATGGCTGCTCCTGCTGCAATACCTGCAGCTATATCAGTCAGTACAACTGACATCAATTCCCTCACATCTATGCTCCTGTTGTGGGCTGCAAGATCTCACATGTGAGGCCACACCTTTGACACCACTTCCCATTATATCACCTGTTGCTCCAACACCCTTGACACTTACTCATTTTTTGAAGTATGCCAAGGACCACCTTGGTGTTGCATTTGCCCCAACATATGAACCCTCCCTGCATGGCATTGGTGCAGGTCCAGATATACTTGCCAAGATGGCTGACCAAGATCTTGCTCAAGTTAGTCTCAGCATAGGTGACATTATTTGGCTGAAGAAAAGGAGTATTACATGGTGGAATGGCCCTCTTGCAAAGAGTAGCACAAAGCATCAACAGTGATACAACTGACTCAAACATTCCTGAATACAAGAAATTCCAGTATGATAGGAGGTATCATGATGGGGGATGAGCACACATCAGTGGAAGTTGTATGAAGCCTGATGAGTGTCCTCCAAGCAAGCGCCCAGATCCTGACTATGACCTTTACTACTTCTGCAAAAACAGGCAAAGTTGGGTTATCTTTCCTCCTGGATTCACTTTTGAGTCAGAGGGTGATCAAGCAGGTACAGAAGATCCTTTTATTTAGAACTAGCACTACAAACCAGTAGAATAGTTAGGCAATGTACCCTGAAGCATGAAAATAACCTTCTGCCTTGTCAGGTGTGATGGCTTGGCATGCTTGTACCATACTTGTCAAAGTCTTGTCATCAAAATGTTGTCATAGATATGCTTTGATAGCAGAAAAGGCTTGCTCGATAGGGTTGTAGTCAGGTGAATATGGGGGCAGAAAGACAAGCTTGCATAAAGCTTCTTCCTTGACCAGACGACAAACCTCATCACTGTGGTGAATGCAGCAATTGTCTAAAACTAGTACACTGCACAGACCTGGATATGGGTTGGTTAAAGGCAGCTGTAAACAATCAGTCAACTTTTGATCCACATCACATTTACAAGACCCTACCACATGCTCACGTAAGAATTGTGCAAATCGCTCACTTGTTACTGGTCCCTTGATGATATCATAAGCGATGATTCCATCAAGAGCCAGTATTGGCAGGATCAAGTAGTGTTTGCCTCACATGAAGCACTTCCTTTGGATGCATCTGTTACAAACTAGTTATTACATATCAATCAAAGCACAATTTGACATACCTCATTCCAATTCTTGATCTGCCATAGCATTGAATGACAGTTCTCTTGTCTTTCACAACCTCATCACCAAACATCAACATTTCAGGGTCAGGCACAATTTCAGCAATATTATTCATAAAAATAGCACATTTTTCTTCATTCCATTCAAGAGTGTGTGCAGAAATGCATTTGTGATTGAGATGTAGCTGCCAAAATGTGCAAAGAAGTGTTTGCACAGACACAAACACACCACAACAAGAGTGCAATTCATGCTGTAGCTCATCAAGATAGATAGTAGGACAGTGACAAAGGATAGCAGTGATGAAAGTGAGATCATTGATGGTGAGGGTGTGATGTTGGCCTGTATTCTTGTTGTGGATACTCCAAGTTGCGGGAAAGAGCTGTAAAACTTTGTATACAAGAGTCTTTTTTACTCCAAGTAGATGGCAGATATTGTCATGGACTAGGATAGTTGTAACAACAGCAGCTTGATAAGAGCGACAGCTGAAGTTAAGATTGAGACCTTGCAAATGCAAGGGTCATAAGACAAGTCAAAGAGAGTGTCTTTGGCTTGAATATCAGTTCAGATGACTTAGGATTGGAGGTCCTAAGTGAGAGAATGTTCAGGCAAAAACCTAGTAAGATTAAAGTAAAGAACTACTAAGTACATCATTGACTATATATAGTGAATCATAAGTGGTTTAGGGCAGGCGTAGTTCAATGATGAGTCAGAGATAAGAAAAGGATGCATAAGCGATAAGAATGAGTCATCTAGCAATGGCAATGGCAATCGTGATGTAATACAAGATATTGGAGATAAGTCTAGCAGCAGCGCTATGTGGCTTGTGATGTAATACAACAGTAATGAGGAGAAAATGAATAGGGGCATACAAGATTGTAACAGATATGCTTGACCAAGTGCCCACGTTGATGTAGAACAGGTATTTGAGCCTTTAGATCATCTGAAACAGTGTGTGGTGGCATTGGACAATGCAGACTCAATGTTATAAGCCAGTGCTGCAAATCTCTCACTCATGTGCTTACAGGGTCCTTGTCTGGGGATTTCTGATGCACAAGTTTTGATTTTGCAATTCCGCATAGTTTTGGAATCAGCTGTAATGTGATGTAACTAATGAATTTTGCTTTGGAGAGCTCATGTTATGTGTGTCACCTCCTATAAAAATCAACCTATCATCAATAATAGTATAATTTTTTTTTCACTTCTGAGAGCATTTGCCATTCATGTCACTCTATGTATTGTTCATGTGAATTATGAATTTTGGACATGAATATGTTGAGGTAGAATAAATCAGCATTGTGTATGAAGTGCTATGCTGAGAAAGACACAAAGCAAGACTATTGAAGAATCATGACAATACAATAACAAGATATGGAAGGTAAGAGGGGAAGGGGGACCTCACATATCTCAAGAACACAATTTTTTTGGGAAGTCTGGCTCAACCATTGTGTTCAGAGGGATTAATGGCCCCTAGGACAAACACTCCTGGCATCCTGGCAAGTCATGGGAAGCCTAGAAAATTCGATCTTTGAGGGGGGATATCAGGCAAACTCACACATTGCAATTCATTAGGGTTCAAAACACTCAGAAATCATCTCCAATCCATTTATATAATCATTAAACAGTAAGAAAATCATTCTGCACATCAGCATTGACATAAAATCATGCCTTTTGGTAGAGTAGGCAGGGAGAGAGGGCACCACAACTCTGAAACATAATTTTTATGGAGAAAATGAGCATTGCCATTGCATTCAGATGGTTCAATGGCCTTTGTCTCAAGTTCTATTTGAAGCCAGCCAAGTCACATGGAGGCTGAAAAAATCAATCATTTACATAAGCAAAAGCAGTCAATTTGAACACAGGGAAGCAACTTGGTAACATGACCTTGACAGACCAAATGGTTGTAAGGCTTCCCTGAGGGTCTTTGGCATTTCATTTGCCTTTGGATCACCCTTGGCAAGTCCAGTGATATAGCAGTAGATGTTGTTTGCCAGAAACAAGTCCTCCAGTTCTGATGCAAGTTCAGTTTATGGACTTTCCAAGGGCCCAGAGTCATTGAAATCAGTGACAGTGTCTTACTACTTGAGGGTCTTATATAAGTTGAGGTGAAATACAATGACTATCACAATTGTACTTCAATAAGACTAAGGTGCCAGCTCCTCAAGTTCATGGTCAACAGATTTTCTACTTCTTGGTTGATAATGTGGTGTTCATGGGTGGCCAAAGGGTAATAAATTACTTCTCTGCTTGATCACTTCTTGATAGTAAAGGGAGGTGTATATTTTGTCAGGTTAACTTAAACCTAGTAGGTAATATGGACCTCTGCTGAATTAAATATGATAGACTGTTGTATAGGCGATCCCTGTAAGATAGTATACAACCAATCTAGACTAGAAATACTGTAGTTTTCAAAGGTAATCTGTAGGCCTTCACTTTCTTCTGGATCTCACTTTGTTGGAGACAGAAAGAGGGGAAAACTCCTGCACTTCAAATCTTATGAATCCCACGGTTTGAGTGTCACATCTGCATATCCAGATCTCAGATCCGACCCTTATCTCATCTCAGATCCACATCTTATCTCCAATGCTATCCACATCTTATCCCCCTCCAACATCTTGTCATTCAATCTGTCCACTCATCTGGTCTGGTCCACAACTCATCCGAATCCACAACCAGTGCTCGTCTCTTTTCGGTAACCCCCTAACTCTGGTATTTCAGTTATCTGTATATCCGTCCTGCTCCCTTATCTGCTACCTATGTTTCATTTCCGTTTCATGATTTGTGATCTGTTTCTACTTACCAATAGACTATCCACATGCTTTGTACATAGCCTCGGACTCTGCTGATTGATCATTCCATTAGATACCTATAGTATATAACCTCCTGTAACTTTCTGTAGTACCTCAGTTTGAATATCATCTTAGTTCTACTCATTCCTGTCCTCTGGACTTGAGTACCTCTACTCTCGTCACCCTCCGAGACTTAGGATTGATTCCTATAGTCTATCTGTATCTGCCTCTGTCCCTGACAGTCCAATACCATTAGTTTCTAGTCTGGACTTGTCCAGATTAGCCTTATGATACTTATCCCTCATCCGGAAGTCATCTGGATCCATTATGCTACTTGTCCAACCTTCTGGACATGCTAGTCTTGCCTTTTTGAAATAAGGGGCAATACTCGGGTAAGGGGCACAGCGCATGAGCTGAGGCCAAAGCCCTTCAGATCCAGTTACCTTTTGAGTACGACCTTAACATTAAGACAAGAAAGAAGAGGGAAAAACTTGTTGATTATGTAAGAATGGAGTCCTTATATACATTTTAGAAACCATCCTTACTAAGCAATGACTCATCACTGGATTGGTAAGAATATGCTTACAAACCAAGTCTTTTGGTGTGCTGAATCAGCTGCTTACTAAAGTACATGAGTAAAATATTACAAAGCATGACAAATCATGACAAATCATGATAAGTCATGGAACAATCCTTACAAGTCAGAATATTACCAGTCACATGACATGCTTACAAACATATCTGAGTGGTTCACTGATGTAATCAAGTGGCTGAAACTACAAATGCAAGTAAATAAATAAAGGGAAATAGATGACTAAGCTTATGAGTGAGAAATATATCCTCATACACTCTCCTAATGATCTCCTTCTATACTTCTTTTTGTATATGTCATGGTATGAACTCCATACCATGCACAACAATGGTGTCTTCTTAGATAGATGATCTATAGATAAACACCTATAAAAACCAAATATCTCCACAGTCAGTGATTCAGACAAATACCAATGACTGATAACATGGTTGTTTGTGGGTGGCTGTTCAGTGGTACCTAAGCTATGTTCAGCAGAAGATGTTCCATGAGATCAGTAGTGAGTTAGCACTCCAACAGTATATGGACTACATTGATAACAAAAAGAAAAAGAAAGAGAGACAGCTATGTTGCACAATAACAATACCACCAGCAGGTTGTGTGAAGCAATAGAGGTCACTCCCAAAGCACAAGCAGGTAGGATCAAAGGTCAGGACTAGTCAAAGCTTCAGAACTTGCTGCCAAGGAACTCACAATGAGTATTAAACAGAGTCAGGAATGGATGTCCTTGGTGGTCTGCACCAAGTCCCCTTTCAATAGCTAAAGCTGGTTGGCAATGACAACCCTAGCTCAGTACCACTACTCAGATGTGTAAGGTCAAGCACACAGATATCAACTCCTAAAGTCTCCCCACTAAGCTGCTCTGAGCCTCAGATGGATGAAAAAGACAATACAAATTCTGGAATATGTCTGCTACAGAAACACAGAAACTTGGAAAATAAAAGAAGAACATAGAAAAACCAACAAATGAAACAGAACCAGGTTTGCTGGTTGTGGAGCATGGTGTGACAATCATACCGGTGCTAGGCACATATGATCAACAGCACAGTTCTTCTTACTACCAGGAAAGGAGATAAAGCGCTGATCATTAATCCATATATATCAACTCATCCACTGTTAGTATGCTCCTTTGACTATAGGCATGCACTCCTTCCATGACCCACTGTAGGGATTTCATTTACTGTGGGCTTATATAGGCAGATATTACTTAGTGTTATGTTCGCACTTTTGGTGCTTATGTAATCATCATAGTTTTCACCACCTACCAGTACCAGTCTGAGGCTGAGAGTTATTAGCATGATTTCCTATCCTCTCTGAGCACTGAGCTTAGTCCAGAAACCCTTTAGGGTTGAATAGCAGCTAGGCATAGCACATTTAACCCAACTTTAGAAGGCTACTTTCCAGTTCTCTTTTTGTTGTGTTTCCCACACTGCATTCCCATTTAGCTTTGGTCTGGTCCTAGGAATCCATCCTTCCATGTCCTATCCATGTCCACCTATCTCCACTGGTGCATTATTTTTCCCAAATGTCATTGCTAAATGAGCTGCAGGTCTTATTACATGTTACTCACATTCCACAGTGCATGATGTCTTATTACCTATAGACTCATTGTGTGCATGCTTACTATGCTACAATTCTTGCCTACACATTCTGGACATTCATGTGCTATGATAAAACAACTGCAGTACATATGAATGAGTTAGTTCCCTTCCCCCCTGGACTCAGCTCTATAGGAGAGTCACTCTCACATTATTTTGTAGACCTTGCGCAATTCATTCTGTTTGCTCATACTTGATAATTATGTGTAATTCAACCACTCTGAAGTTCTGTACTGCTAGGACCTTATATTTAGGCTCTTGCAAGAATACCTGACCCATGACTGGTAACTTAGCATGGTCATTCCCTCACACTATTTCCTTTGCATCCAGCCACTCTATCAAGCATGCTTGATTTCATGCACATTACATCTACTGCACTGGTACCCAGCATTCACTGTGCTTGCACATATCTTCTAGTATTCCTCCTGTGCTTGTGATACTAACACCAGTTGATTTTTGCTTGCACTCATGGTCAATTCTTTGACATAGGAACTCAAAGGTATACATACAGTCCACACTCTAGTTTCTTAGGCTGCTATAGATTATAACTCCTTCATTCATTTGCTTCCCTTGCATATATTCAAAGGAAGTGCTTCAATAGCAGTCCTCTCAGGCCAAACTGTTAATTCATGCCTCTTAGGATAAGTGGTACTAGTTGCTAACAGCCTAGTTCTTATTTCTTCCTCACAACAGTGTGCAAACACAACAATGGCTTGACACTAGGTAAAGTGCCTAACCAAAAATATTGTTGTAAGGTCGATGCTCTGCCTAGCTACACTTGCAAGCAAGAACATTTGACCCTAAATGTCATATCCCACAATCTGGACCCATGTTCCATCATACTCCCACGCCTTCCAAGCCTACGTCTGGACCCCACTTCACATCCAACTCATTCCCAGATTCCCTTCTGCTGTGTGCTCCACACCTCAGCAGGATCAACTATGCTCCGGATTTACCCCTGAGCTCTGGACCATCAGATCTCCACTGCT